CCAAACCATTGTATGAATCTGTGATTCTTTTTCCTCTTCAGCTCCATAAGGAAGAAGTTCCATGTTCAGCCAAGCTGGTCTTCTACCCTATTTGCTTGACTTACAGCACAGCGGGATTGCCTGCTCCTGTACTTCTAAAAAGTAGTTCTTAAAAACTGACCAGCACTTGTGGACTCCTAAGCCCTCAAAAGCAGGTTCCCAGGGTACTCTGCTAAATAGATCCCTCAACAGCTTAAAGTTAGCTCTCCTGGAGTCCAGGGTGGCAACTCTGCTGTTATTTTTTATTCTCATTACACTGGAAATTTTGAACTCAACCATTTCATGATCACTGTGGCCAACACGGCCATCTACCATCACATCTCCCATGAGTCCTTCACTATTCACAAATAGCAAGTCTAGGAGGGCATCTTTCCTAGTTACCTCACTGAGTACTTGTGACAAGAAGTTATCTGCTACAAACTTCAAGAACTTCCAAGACCTACTCATCCCCGCAGCATGATATTCCCAGTTGATGTCTGGGAAGTTGAAATCTCCCATAAGGACAAGGGTTACCAATCCAGAAATTTCTCCTAATAGCCTATAGAGTAACTCATCAGTGCTTACATTCTGGCTGGTGATCATTTTATTAGGCACCCACTACAACATCTCCTTTCTTTTCCAGCCCCCTAGTCCTCACCCCCTAGTCCTCACCCCGAGACACTGCCACCTTGCCTGCCCTGCCTATCCTGCCTGAACAGCCCTGTAGCCCTCCATCCCAGCACTTCAGTTGTGGGACTCATTCCACCAAGTTAGAGCACCCTCAGAATCAGGACACACTTTCTTGTGTTCAGATGGAATTTCATGGTTTTTCCTATTGGCCCTTTGGTTCTTGCCCTGTCAGTGGGTGCTACTAAGAAAGGTCCAGCTCCCTTGCCCTCGTTCCCTCCCAGCCAGTATACGCATGGAGGCATCTTCCCCTTAAGATGGAAGCAGAGCAGAAAACTGGAAAAGAAAGGAAAAAGGACTCAGGGGAAGTGTTCTGGTTTGGTACTACTTGCACTTGCTTCCCTCCAAATGCCACCCCGCTGCTTCTGCATCTGAGCAGGTAGCGACCTGCTCCCTGCCCTCATTCCCCAACAAAGTGTTGCACAGACACTCACAGACAGAGGGCTGGTTAAACCAAACTAATTTATTGTCATTTTTGCATCGTGTAAAGGTCCCAGAGGGGATCAAGTCTTTCCAACAGGATGGGTGGTCCCATCCTGTTACAGGCAGTAGCAGGAACCTCAGTTGCAATGGCTTCTTCAGCTGGACCGGCGGACATTCCCCAAGCTCTGCTTATGCTGAGCTTCTCCTGAGCATCTCCACGCTTAGTTTGCTGACCTCTGCAGCACAGGCTCCCCACGCAGTCTCTGGGATGAGCAGATTCTCTGTCCCAGTGTTTAAAATTGTCCCCCGGGCCTCACTAATGTGTGAGGAAAGCAGGTCCTCTGGGTCACAGTCACGAATGGAAAAGCCTGTGACCACCAGCATATGGGTGCAGAGCTGCAGACCTCTCAGCTGGAAATTGTCCTACTGAGTGTGCCTCGCCGTCAGCCTGAAAAGCAGCATCTCAGCAACACCACAGCTCTCTGGCCAGGACGTGCTGCTGGTGAAGCTGGTCTCTGCCTACTCAAGGCTCAGGTAGGCGCCTCAACTGCCTGGCTGCACTGCAAAAATTAGCTCCGTGCAGATGTTCATCTTGGAGGAGCTTGTCAGTTTGAACTTGCAGGACTGGGAGGAGGGCAGCACCGTTAGCCGGCAGTGGTGCGACTGAGGCAAAAGCATCCAGGCTGATCTCACCAACATTTGGCCCCAGAGGGTGATTTTCTCCAGGTCTAAATAGGAGCCTGTGCAGAGGGTGCGTAGGAAGTACGAGCTCTGATCCCTCGGCAGCTTGTCACTGGGCTGGTGCAGAAAGCACGAAATGTCCCCCAGCAGCTGGTCCCTCGTGCACGTGCATTCCAGCACCACACGGACGTGGCTCGCTGGCAGCTGCCCCATGGTGTCCAGCTCCAGGCTGAAAGAGTGCCCGCGGGGTGGCTGCAGGAACACGACCAGGCGGTAGGTGATGCTGTTCTCGTGGATGCTCCAGGCTTCATAGCCATCCATCCCAATGGCTGGGTGCATCTGCGGCATGATAGTCCTCTTGCAAAGCAGTCGGCAGACATGAAGGAGGTCATCCACAAGTTCCTTCAGCAGCTTGCATGTGTTGGGCAAGTCCTGCATTGGTGATTGAGTGGATCCAGCCAGAGATCTGACAGTGTTGTGTGCACTATTGAGGTCTTCCTCCTCCTCCTCATTGCTGGTGCCATCCTGCTCACTGCAACTGCCATGGGAAATCTTCATTTTCCTGGCCAACCAGCAGAACTCAGCAAGCAGGACCAGGGTTCCTGCAATGGTCCAAAATGCCCGGTGCTGGAACATGGAGAAGAGCGTGGCGTGCCTGCTCCGCTCAATCTCCTCGAACAGCTGAGTCATCTGCTGTTGCACATACTCCTCATACTTCTGCATCTTCTTGGCGGTGGCCAAGTCTGCCTGAGGATCATTCTTCATCCCATGTGGGATGGCCAGC